TCCTCAGGAACAGCCGGAGAAGTCTTTCTCTCCACCATGCAACTGTCTTCCGACCCTCTCGACCGACATCAAGATACCCATTGACGACAATCAACGCAAGCGAAAGAAGCAGACGTCTTTTTGGCACACAGCATGATGGACGGCCCACGGCGAGAAGAAGTAGCCTCAGCGGAGGGCGGAATCTTGCCACCGCCGTAGACGATCACCAATCCATCGCGAGCTCCAACTTCGACAGACTGGACAGCTCTGTTCTGTCAGCGTACCAGAACGTCTCGGCTCGCCCAAGATATCACGAGTTGCGCGCCTTCGACCCCGCCTCGCCACTGGTTCTCCAGGAGAGCAACGCACCGCAACAGCCCCGAGGGAAAATAAACAATTTCGGCGTTCCTGGCGATGTGGACGAACTGTTGCCGATTTTCGATGCCTGCATTCGCGTTGGCAAAGTCGATCGTGCACAAATGGTTCTCAAGCGCTTGGCTGCTGTCCCAAGCTTCCCTGGCGAAGACTTGATTTTCCTCCACAACCGATTCATCCGAGCCTCTCTCGAGCAGCTGCGCCTCCATCCCGACCGAAAACAAGCCGAGAGCCTTCATAAATGGTACGAGTTGCACATCAACACCAGGGGCCTCCCCCAAACTGCCGAGACTATCGCTTGCATGCTCAAGGCCTCTCTCATCTCCGAACGCGACGACAACAGGCGTCACCGGTTGGTTACTCGTTACATGAGACTGGCACCCGGCGAGGCGGGCTTGCAAGTCTTATCGATGGCCGAGATCCTTAGCGATCAAGACCTCGCAGTCATCACGGAAATCTGCCCCATATACAACCTCGCGCCTGAAGAAGAGACTCCAGCCGCTGAAGCCGAAGATGAGCACATTGCCGTTAACGAAGGCGAAGCTTTGAAGTCCGCTTCTACAAAGCTTATGCCAGAAGTCAAGGCCACACCTCAGAAAGGTTTCGGACTCAAGAGTTTGAAGCAGACTTTGAGCCTTTTCGACGAAATCCCCCAGGAATGCGACATCTCTACACTTCCGATTCGCGAACGAAGGGAGATTCAAGCCCGTCTCGAGCGCGACTGCGTTGACGCAGCCGTAGAGCGTTGGCGCGAGGAGAACGAATCTCTGCAAAAAATGGGTCTCAATACTTCGGTAGCACATGCGTCACTCAATTCCCGCTTGTACGACTGGCAACTTGCACTGGAGGCACGACTCAAGGAGGAAATGGTCAAAATCGAGAAGTCCGAGGCTGTCGCGAAGAAGACGCCTGAAGACTACGACCGATGCGTGTACGGACCCTTCTTCAGACTTTCTACTCCTAGTCGTCTGGCCGCTGTCACCATTCTCAGCACCTTGAGTTCTACTGCCATCACCGGCGTCGACCGTGGCATGGGTCTTGCTACCGCCATTAGCGGCCTCGCAAAACTCACCGAAGAGGATATCCGAAGTCAGCTCGCGAGCCAGAAGGTGAAAAGGGCCGACAAGAGCAGAAAGGTCGTCATGGCCAAACCTGCGGAGGTCACAGACAAAAATCCATCAAAAGAGATGGCCAGCAATGAATTGTTTAGCGATGAACAAGCCAGGGACGCTGTGCTAGCCGATGCGGCCTGGCCCCCTGCGGTGAAGGCCAAGGTCGGCGCGGCCCTAATGTCTGCTCTTATCGAGACCGCCAAGATCAAAGTTGTGAGGGAACACCCCGAAACGAAGACCCTTGTCAGTCAATTCCAGCCCGCGTTCTCGCACGCCACTCAGCTCAGGAGGGGCAAGAAGATCGGTATGATCTTGCTCAACAAGGAGCTCGTCAACATCATGAAGCGAGAACCTCAGGGCGACTTCCTGGCTAAACATTTACCTATGGTTGTGGAGCCGGAGCCGTGGCAGGCCTTCGACAAGGGTGGCTTTCTAGAAAGCAAAGCGAGTCTTGTTCGTATCAAGCAGGGTGACAAGGACCAGAGGCTGTACAGCGAAGCAGCTATCGCCCGCGGAGACATGGACCAAGTGTTCAAGGGGTTGGATGTTCTGGGCAGAACCGCTTGGCGGATTAACAATCCAGTTCTCAGTGTTATGCTCGAGGTTTGGAACAGTGGTGAGGAGTTGGCAAACATCCCGGCGTTGAATCCCGATATACCCACGCCGCCCGAGCCGGCGCCTTCCGAGGATCCCTCTGAACGCATTCTCTGGATCAGAGCCGTCAAGGCCGCCGAGAACGAGAGGGGTGGCTTGCATTCCGTTCGCTGCTTCATGAACTTCCAGTTGGAAATCGCCCGTGCTTTCAGGAACCAAACTTTTTACTTCCCTCATAACATTGACTTCCGGGGTCGTGCCTATCCACTACCGACATACCTCAACCATATGGGTGCCGACCATGTCCGCGGCATTCTTCGCTTTGCTAAGGGCAAGGAGCTCGGCGAGCAGGGTCTCAAGTGGCTCAAGGTCCACTTGTCCAACGTCTTCGGTTTCGACAAGGCCAGTCTCAACGACAGAGCAGCATTCACTATGGACAACTTGGCCAATGTCATGGACTCGGCCAACAACCCGCTCAATGGTACCCGCTGGTGGCTCAAGGCCGAGGACCCTTGGCAATGTCTTGCAGCTTGTTTCGAGCTCAAGGCAGCGCTTGAATCCCCGGAACCAGAGAAATACGTCTCTAGCCTTCCAGTGCACCAGGATGGCACCTGTAACGGTCTTCAGCACTATGCCGCCCTCGGTGGTGACATTTGGGGTGCTCGCCAGGTCAACCTCGTGCCCGGTGATAAGCCTGCTGACGTCTACTCTGCCGTTGCCAACATTGTCAAAGAGCACATTGCCAAGGACGCGGAGGGAGGCAACCCTTTTGCCAAGGCCATGGACGGAAAAATCACGAGAAAGGTGGTCAAGCAGACCGTCATGACCAACGTTTATGGCGTCACATTTGCTGGTGCCAAGAAACAGGTCTGCAAGCAGCTTGACTCGTTGTATCCCAACTTGCCAAAGGAGTGCGGCTTCGAGAACATCGTAACTGCATCTTATGTGGCCACTCTCGTCTTCAAGGCTCTGTCGTCCATGTTCCGCGGTGCTCACGATATTCAGTACTGGCTCGGTGAGATTGGCGGCCGGGTTTGTAGGGCTTTGTCCGCTGAGCAGTTGGAGCGGATCGCGAATGATGGAATCGTGCCCGTACTATCCAAGACCAAGGCTGTCGAGAATAGGACCTCGACTGACGAGCTCCTGGCACAATTCCGCGCCACTATTGTCTGGACCACACCGCTACGCATGCCCATCGCCCAGCCGTACCGCAAGAGCGGAACCCGAATCATCAAGACGTCCCTGCAGGACCTCTCCCTGACAATTCCCGAGCGCTCCGACCCCGTACACCGCAAGAAGCAGCTGCAAGCATTCCCTCCCAACTTCATTCACTCCCTCGACGCAACGCACATGCTGCTGTCCGCACTCGAGTGCTCTGAGCTTGGACTGGACTTTGCTGCTGTTCATGACTCTTTCTGGACACATGCCGCTGACGTCAACACGATGAACCGTGTTCTTCGTGACGCCTTCGTCAGAATTCACGAGGAGGATGTTGTTGGCCGTCTCGCTGCCGAGTTTGAGGCCCGGTACCGTGGCTCCATCTACATGGCAAAGATCAACGTCGGAACCGATGTTGAGAAGAAGATTGCCGCCTTGAGAAAGAAGAAGAAGGTGTCGTTCAAGGATGAGCTCCTGGCTGAGCACAAAAGACAGACGCTCCTCCGCTCCGGGAACCCCGAGCTGATTGCGGAGGCCAAAGAGATGGTGACACCCGCTAGCATTTTTGAAGAGATGGCGGCTACCGAAGCCTTGGTGAAGGGCGAGGACCTGAAGGCCATCGGCCTCGGTGAGATTTCGGAGGATGCGGACGAGACCGACGTCAAGATGGAGTCAGGTGCTAGCGATGAAGCCAACGATGCCGAGACATCCCATGCCGTCGATGAAGAGCTCCTTAGCGGAGCCAGCTCCCGATTCGCTACAAAGATGCTGAAGAACATGGAAGAATCGCACTTCAAGCAACATTTACTCGCTAAACCCGGGAAGTCGACCTCACGTCCTAAGACGATCCAGGTCTGGCTTCCTTTGACCTTCCCCCCGATTCCCGAGAAGGGCGATTTCGACGTTCAAAGACTCAAGGAGAGTGAGTACTTCTTCTCATGATTGCGTCTCTGGTCTTTGCATCAGAGCTGAAGCGGGGCATGCTCGTCATGCATGAAGTGGATGTTTTGTTGAAGAGGTGTTGATTGCATATTTTGATTGATTGCATTCGCGATGGCGTTGATGATTGTACAAAAAGGGGGCGTTTCTTTGGTGGTCCTTACGGCGGCGTTTAAAAGACGAAGAATCAGGACAACTCCCAAGAAGGTGTTTTTGGGCATGTGTACGATGTTTGATAACTAGACAATTGTATAAATATGGTGGATGGGACGAAAGAGCTCTTGGCTTCAGATGTTGATGCCAGGCGTACCTCCCATCACACAAATAAAGATTCGTAAAACAGACGTTTGAATCGCTTAGATAAGGGTGAGTTCCCAACTCACGATCGAATCGTCAAACGTAACTTATGAGGTAGTTGTGTGTGACTGGATGTCTGCTAAACTTGCCAAACTCGAAGCGAAACTGGTTCTCGGTTTTGACGATACCTACCTACCTTATCTTGCCTGATGCTGGAGTTTTACTTCCCACACCGAAGAAAACGCGAGGGTAGACGATGAAAGGATCATCATGCTGTTCTCGGTAACAGCACCCTCGCAAACCGAGTCAATTGTGATTGGATCGCAATAGCAGAGCCTGCTCCAACACCTTGCGCCAACAGCGCTTCCTTTATCCATGTTTTTTTTGCCTGCACACCCACCCCCCCTCCGTTTGGTGCGTTGGTTGGCGGTATGGATTGTTTCCCCCCTCCTCTCCTTCTTTCTTCTCTCTTTCTTCATCGTTCTCGCAAAAGGTAACCAAACTTAGTTCCAGCGACCAGGTTTCAGTCGACTGTTTTTGCAAAAGATGGTCAACACGCCAGAGGCCCAGCCGGCTTCCCCTCCTGCCGCGACCTCACCCCCGGTGCCGGCCGCGGAGCCCGCGACAACGGCCTCACCCCAGAGCCCACAGCGTAGCTCACCACCGACCAACCCTCCCGCTGCAGTTGCGGAGTCGGACGCATTGGAGGCGGAGGACCCGGTGACTGTTCGTCACCGATTGAGTCTCAAAATGACCATGTCCGCTGATTATAGGACCTAGGAAACGGATGAGGGCGCTTCCATCGATGACCAAATGTAAATTTTCCTTAGTCTCTAGCGGAGACGTGTTCAGATAGGTTGACGGCCGACAGCTCCTCGTACACGGCTTCGCTGGCATCGAGCGCCGTGGACTATCCCATTGAGTTCGGTCGTCGCTACCATGCCTTCCGACCCGGAGGTAAGGAGTCTTATGCTTAAATTAAGAACATACGGGTATTCTGACCATACTCGTTCCTTAGCTTACTTCCTGCCAAACGACGATGTAAGAAAAAGCGCTTCCCATGACGGCAAGGGTGAGAGCTGACGTTTGCAGACTGAGATGGACCGCCTGGATATGTCTCATGACCTTACACTGAGGATGCTGGGATACAAGCTATACTTGGCGCCGATTGAGAAAGAGAAAGTCAACAGGATCCTTGACATTGGAACTGGTACCGGAATTTGTGAGTCGCTGAGGGACTAGATCCTGTTTCCCGCCCCAGTCAGGATGACACTGACAAGATCTTAGGGGCCATGGAGATGGGTGACCTCTTTCCTAATGCGGAGGTATACAAATCCTTCGTTGTCAAGCAACTCATAGAAGCTAAATCAGGCATTCTTAGGTTTATGGAAACGATTTGAGTGCTATCCAGCCGGAATGGTGAATTTTTCCAATCATTAGCGGAACGAGACCCATGATTACCAGCTAATGTCCGTGTCCATAGGGTTCCTCCAAACGTCAAGTTTGAGATCGACGACGTCGAGAGCGACTGGATCGGTGATAGGAAGTACGACTTTATCTTCTGCCGCTACATGATCGGCTCGATCGCCGACTACCCGAAACTGATCAAGAATGTCTACGACAACCTCAACCCCGGAGGTTGGGCAGAGTTCTCAGACATGAGCGGCAAGTACTACTCGCCAGATGGCACTCTCAAGAAAGAACACGCCACCTTCAAATGGAACGATATGCTCATGGACACCATCGCGTCCATGGGCCGCGAGGCCCGTCCGGGTCCCCAGCTGGAGGGATGGGTCCGCGAAGCCGCGAATTTCCAAAACATTACTCACAGAAAGTTCATCCTTCCCATCGGCCCTTGGCCAAAGGACCCGCACTACCGGGAGTTGGGGCTGGTCAACTTGACCCAGATTTTGGAAGGACTTGACGGTTTCTCCATGAGGGCGTTTTGTGGCGTGCTAGGCTGGACAAAGGTTGAGGCTGAGGTCCTGCTTGCCCAGGTACGGAAGGAGTTGAAGGCGGTCCACACCTTCCATGCTCAATTTGACATGTAAGTCTGGTTGGAAATTTCAGTTTGTGGGCCTTGCAGCTAACCGGATATGTAGCCATAATGTGGTGGCTCAGAAGCCTTTTGAGGAAGATTCTTGAGATATTCGGTTTGGAAGACTCCTGTCCTATGTGTATTACCCGGAGGGGGCCATCTCAGTCCCAATCATGTATTTCCTTGTGATGATAAGCATGAACGTCAATGGGGCTCAGGGACTTAGGAATAAACTCCAGTGTCGATAGCTATACACATACATTAATAAAGTACACAGTAGCAAGTTTGCTTGAGCACTAGTGCTCTACGAATATGTGAGAACGGTGGCTTCATTTCCGTATGACTCTGTAAATTAGAATGAGAAAAGTTCTTGCGTTTGTGAGGGCTACCAAGCAATACATACCTTTATTGAAGGGCATTCCTGATGCAAGGTGGCCATGGTTGCTCCAAGGTCACCTCACCTTTGGGTCTTTGCATCTTCATGGAACCAAAAGGATAAACTTTTCAAAGGGTGTGTGACAATAGCACTATGGATTGAAGACGGGTCTCTTGATCACAGACCACAGATAGTCCCAACTTTGCTCAAAGTAAAGTCACCAGCCACCCAGGTACCGCTTATTCCACTGTTTGAGTCTTATTGACTAATTATATAAGAAACTCACCCTCAGCTCTGGAAAAAGCATTTTTACAATCATTGCTCCTGCACTTCTCCCACCATTTGCGCTGGGCAACATCAATTTCTCAAACAACCTACCTTACCTTCAGAGTAACCCACCCAGAACAGAATACTCGGCACACTTCACTCGAAAGAGCCTTATCATACCGACTGGCTAGTCTCAAAATGATAAACAATGCCTCGAAAGGCGCCACAAGTCAGCCTTCGCCTGTGTCCAAAGTCACGCAACTTGCGTATATGCCCGATGTAGTGGTCCTCAACGTCGCTGACATGCTGCTCAACGATGACGACATTGCTGGGTATTTTGAGAGCGACGAAGAATGCTCCGATGTAAGTACCGCCGCCAACCCGGAGGGCAGGCGCAGCTGGGGAGTGCAGAACGCCACCAACTTGGCGAAAGTTTGCATGCGTTTCTACAATATCGTTAGTCCAGCAGTCTTCAGACACGACATTCAACATCGTTGCGCATCCTCCTTGCTACTATCAGCCAAAAGAAACAACCTCGACGGTGTTTCAGCTTCACTTCGCCACGGCGCCAATATCAATCAGACTGATCAATCGTTGCTGCATATCGAAGAAACGGCAATCATGGAGGAATATCGATCCAGATGCTTGTTACTTCCGGTAAAAACATTCTTCACCGCACTGCACTGGGCTTCATTGTACGGATACAAAGATCTGGTACGTCACCTCCTCAAAATTGGTGCCGATGTCCAACACAGGGCCGACCTGGGCTTCTATCACTACTCCGTCCGCAGTCCTTGGGAACATGAAAGCCGCTTGAGGGAGTATGAAACCGACATGGAAGACCCTCATCGAGCTTTATTCTGCGCGACGAAGGCAGAATACCTGAGCTCGATGTATCGGAGCCCCGCCCAAAGCCAAGAACCATTACCTTTGCCAATGGGCGCCAACCCATTGTTCTTCGCCTTGAGAGGCAGTTTTGACAGCGAGAATCGCGCGTTGTGGGAGGCAACTTCCACAACACACCTCGCATTGGGTATCAAACCCTTTATAGCCGACGACACAAGTGGCTCCCGTCTCGAGATTGTCAAGGCTTTGATCGAGGCTGGATCATCCCTGGTTACTCGCGAGAAAGGCAAGGTCCATGCCCTACACCAAGCCTGTGCCTATCGGGACGTTGGCGTGGCTCGCTTTCTCCTGGAAGAAGTGGGGGTCGATCCAAACACTCGAGACTCCAAGGGCGACACCGCTTTCCACTACGTGGCTTCTAACCAGAGCTATGCTTTCAATACTAACACGGCCTCCAATCGCCACGATCTCCTGCGACGCACACCGGAAATTGTAAACCTCCTCATCGAAAAAGGGTCAAACATCAATGCCCAGAACGTAAATGGACAAAGCTCCGCTGACATCGGCTTGTACGCGTTATCTGATAGGAAATTCTGGGTATCAGAAGGCTCCTATGGTCCATTCAAGTTGTCCGTTTGACGAAGGCAGACGAAGATACGCAGGTTTTTGGAAGCAATCATTATGTATTGACAGACTCCCTTATATATCATGTTAAGGTGCTCTCTCATTATCTCATAATACCTTGTTCTCTTCTGTTCGTATCTTTGATTTACGTCTTTCCCTATCTTTCACTAACATCGTTTGATAAGAGGTGGAAAAGCCCGCAAAGTCGCGCAATCTCGAGATGCGTGCCTCAAAGTGAGACAAAGGCAAGGATATCAAATGAATCATAGCATGGTTTGCCGCTTCCAAAGCTCATTTTCATGGAACAATTTGTCGAATTCTCTGTAGTTCTCGTCGTTTCAAGGGATCTTGTCCCAATTGCGATGTGATGGTTGAAGAGAGTCACTAGACAGAGAAACAGGCCGGTATGCGAAATATTTGTCTCGACCACCATTCAGATTTGTTCAGCACTGCTTTGCCCCCACGGCTACTCAAGCAGGATTGTGAGAAACAAGGAATCAGAGACATGGTTTCGTGAAGAGATCACGAACCAACCTCAAGAGCTGTTCCATATTACAAACATGCTCGATAATATGGAGACTAGTGTACCTGTATAAAGTAGGTAAAACTAATCGTAGTAATGGTAGACGCCGTAGGAGTCGTAGGAGTCGTACCAGGTACACTTTAGCCAGGACACACCAGGAGGACCAAGTTTCCCCAGACGCGAACAAGGGCACGTTGTTCTGCGAATTCCTCTAATTGATCCAACTTCCGAATGCTGTAAACTCCTGCGCGCCATTGATTTGTGTTGGTATGCACGTCAGCAGAGCAGCCGTATATGTGGGACGAAGTGCAATAATCCGTCGATTGGTACTGCGTGTGTGTGTGGAAGGAGGAGGGATTGGGCAGAACCGACGATTCCTCGAGAAGTGGTAGGTAAGTGGAAGAGCCGTTTTTATAGCCCTGAACGCCTTCTCACTACACCTTTTCTATCGACTGCTCAGAGATCCAACAGTTTAGGCATTTTTCCTTATCAAAGGTCTGTCATTGCACGATATTGGTCCTCTGAAATACAATAAGTACTCAATGCGCTAACCTGGGTTATCTATCCTCTGCTCCAATATAAGACCCTCGTAACGTTTCCACGGCTGATATGTAATGATCTAAGATCCTATGATACAGAGAAGAATAGCAGTAAAGCTATGTCCACGCAAGCCTGCTGGTATCACTTTGCCTCGACAAAGCGATTAGATCATGTGCTGTTCACACAGAAAGAGGCGCACATTTAAGCAGAAGTAAGCCGCTAAATACGGGCAAGTCGTCTAGACAAGTTCCGTTGGGGCCCAGAAAGCATCACAGAGACACGTAAAAAGCAGTCGAAGACTCGAAGATGATAAAGCCTCGTATAGTTTTTGTACAATTCTCAGAGCCCCCAAAAAGAGCACCTGCTCTACACAGACTCAAAGTGAACATGCTAGGGCATAGATATCCAGCTCTTTGAGATACCTCTTTCATAAGATTTCCAGGTGGTAGGGATTAATCATATAGCCAGGAAGATATCGAATTCGTCATCCCAATGATAAGACTACAGCCATCGATAGGATGTACGGTTCGATAGCATAGAGTCATCGTACAGAAGCGTCATAAAGTAGAGATTTTCTGACTTTGGAAACAGCATCATAGGAAAGTTAGTCACTTTGTAACAAGTGTACGTTTCATATCCTACGATGAATATCACAAGAAGGTTCAAATGGATTCGAGCGCAGGTGTGGAGGTCATTACGTGAATCAGGTGTGATATCAAATCGCATAACAAATTTGAAGCCGCAAGCCGGTTTTCTAGACTCTGTTAAACTTTTTGTGCGACTGGCTCATAGCAATCATGAAGTTACGAATCAGAATGCTTTGTCCTGACTCGATGTTTGCCTTAGGTATCCTCGTATCCAATATTGGGATTGCAAGAAGACCCCGGTGCACACTGAATGCCACGGATTTGTCGGGTCGACGAGAACAAGATCAAACTTTCTTAGGAGCTATTGAAGGAACAGTTCGTCAGCATGCGGCGTCGCGAAGTGATAAGTACGAAAGACGCAGGTTTGAATGACTCACCTCCACGAAGACCTTGTTCAGCTCCATTAAAGCTACGTTTCGTCCCAAGCACTGCCACCGACCATACCCGAAGACGATCTCTAGCGTACCCTCCATCAAGCGCAGACTTTCAGTGTCGGACTCGAGCCATCTTTCTGGCCTGAAAACGTGGGAGTCCCGACCCCAGATGTCCTGCCTGCGAAAGATACCCCATGCACAATATCCAATACGGGTACCTTCTGGAAGATGAACACCCTTGAAGTCATCGCCGGCTCCTCCATTCGAGACTTCCTTTGACATTTGACCGACTACTGGTGGAAATATACGAAGACCCTCCTTGATGACGGCCTGCAAGTAAGGCATCTCGCGTGCTTCGGCGTCGGAGACGATGGGCCATGACAGCTTGGCAGCGTCGATTTCGGCTCGGAGGGTGGCGGTTACCTGAGGATTTGTGATTATGTGAAGGATAGTAGCCCGAATGGCGGTCGCGGTAGTATCAGAACCAGCTAGTCTTTTCAAAGTCAGAGAGTTTTGCCACGATCGCTGCGTGGGTGTTGGATCTTACAACTGCATAAGAATCTCCGACTCGGCTTCAGCTTGTGTAAGTCCCCGCGCGACAAACGATCCAAGCATGTCTTTTTGGACCTTCTTGTTTGGACCGAAACGCTCTGATGCAACTTTCTTGGCAATGCTAGACCCGGCGAAGAATGCCAAATGTGAGCAGAGGCGACGCGTAAAGGTGGCTGCGTAGGCAGCAAGTTTTGCGGAAGAGCATGCAGCTTGAACTTACCCCATCGTCTTTCCCACGCCGATTGCATCTTTTTCGGAAGGCATCATGCTCCTGAAAATAGGCGAAGAGAGGAGTGCGAGAAGCCATGGCAGAACACTCGTCACGAGAATCGTTGGCATGTTTTGCTCCATGGTCTTGATGTACTCGTGGACATCCGAATCAGTTGCCAAGTCTCCAAAGGGCTCACCGAAAGCCAGGTCAGAGATGACATCGAGGGTGAAGTATTGTGCCTTGGCTCCAAAGTCAAAAGCTTCGTCGCGAGAAGCATACCTTTCAATCAAGTCGAGGAGTCGGAGGACGTTTTGATCAATTTTGGCTTCGAGACCTTCGACTTCCTTACCAGAGTACTATCTATCATCTTAGTTCACTGTGCCTTTCTCTTATACATCAAGTATTTATGCAATTGCTTACACCTGCGGCCATTTTTGACCGGAGTTTATTATGCAGCTCATCATCTCGGGTGGATAAGACATTGTCTTGGCCAGGCTTGAGTCGCATTCCATCATACCAATTAGATCGCTTGTAAGTCGTCCGCACATTAAGCATACGCTTCATGAGATCCGGATCGCTCGTGATGAGATCATTCGGCCCGACACGAACTATTGACCCTATTCGGCAAAGATGGAAAACGGTTATTTTTCACAAGCGCTTTAGCGCAAGCTAAGGGGTTGAAGTATAAAACGCACCATATTTCTCGCACGCCTCATAAAAGTCGAGGTGTGTCCTACCGCCGCCGACGGCGCGAACGAGCCACCATTTCGAAAATCCGGCGCTCGGTGGCCCCTTGATGTGCTGAAGCCGTAGGTATTGGCGAGCGATGGATACGACGCTGTACGCGATGAAGGCCGAGACTGCGATGCTGGCGTATGCGAGGTATTCCCGACTCATGGTCGCACTCGAGCCCGCGAGGAACCGATTCGTGTACGAAAAGGTTGGATCATGGGATTGTGAGTGTGGATAAAAGGAGGAAACAGTGTCTCGGGCCACACATGGGAAGGGGGAAAAAGAAAGTCTGAGAAATTCTGAGACGAACTGCCTTCTCGGTCAAGGATGCCGCGGCACGGTGGATGGCACGGGGAGCCTGGGAGGAGCTGGGGAATATTTTGACCGAGAGACTGCATCGATACGACGGTCAAATCCTTCAATGGCTCTGCGATAGCATGCAATAGCAGCGAACATGACGCCGAAATGTTACCAAAGTTTCTGACGAGCGGACGACCCATGGCGATATCATCGTCGGTTCGGGGTCTCTGCCCAATAGCGTCTACACTTGCGACGGGTCTGGACCCCCTAGTCTTCAGGCGGCTTAGATGATTGACACGGCAGACTCGGGAATGCAACCCTTCCCGCACGGAGCAGGGGCCGGCGTGACGGGGTTTCGATCCAATGAGATTGTTGCCGTGTTTTGCAATGCCCTGCTACCTTTCTCCTCCTCCTCAATCGCATCGGCAATGACCAATGCCAACGGATGCGTCTAGCGGGGGTATGATGCAACGTTTAACGGGCACGGCTTTGCCCGGGGGGCATTGCCAGAAGGAGGAGAAAGGAGCAGAGAGGGGGCAAGCGGTGAGATCGCATCTCCTGATCTGCACCTTTTGATGCCATCTGCTGGTTCATTACGAGAGGCACCGCCCAACTGTCCAATTAGACTCTGCCTAATCTTCGATCTGGCGGTTAAGGAAGCTTGGGGCTTTTGTTCTTTTTTCTGGAGATTCTTCTGCCCTTCACATTTTTTCGTGTTGCACAACTTTTCTTCAATTGCACATGTTCACTGATCACCGTTGAGTTTGAATCAACACCCCATTAAAAGGGTCTCGTCGTTCGGCCACTTCTTGAGCCTCGACCCTCCGAGGCCCCGATAGGTTTAAACATGGCGGATCCAGCACCGGCGGAAGCCGGCCCGCTCGAAGCAGACGTCAGTTCGGCAACCTTTCAACATATCTGCTTGCACTCGACGGACCTTGATGCTGATTCTTTTGATAGAATGGAGAGGAGAACGATACCAATGATGACAGCGACTCGGCCATGGGAGTGGTGAGTAGTGGTACCTCGGTCTAGCGGTGCAATGTTACGCGTAAAATTAACCCGTGTTGCAGTCTGTGCTCGGGTCATCTGCATCCATGACAAGCAGTATCATGCGTTACCGCGAAGAAAATGGAAGAACATACCACGCATATCGAGAAGGCAGTGAGTGATTCAAAGCTCTCCATCTTGATAAAAACTCGCATAATCTATTGTGCTAACTATGGATTTTGCTTAGGATATGTTTTGCCGAATGACGCGGTAGGTGGTCTTCAGCAGTTTAACCGCCCTTCCAACCTCAATTGGGAACTAACGCGTTTCCCATCTGGAATCGCAGGTTGAAAACGACAGGCTCGGTAAGTTACATAACCTTTGTTCTCTCATCAAAGAGATGCTCATGCCTGCGCAATAGATCTTCAACATCATTTATACACACTTACCTTTGATGGAAAGCTATTTGTATCGCCAGCTGGCCGAGACAAGCCTTTGAAAAGAGTATTAGATGCCGGGACCGGAACTGGAATTTGGGCAATGGACTTTGGTAAGATAGCCGCATCCGCGAATCCAATGAGTCAATATAGCTAATGGCCTGTTCCTAACAGCCGACGATCATCAAGAGACACTGGTAAGGCTCCTTCAAAACTCCCTAACTCCTCACCAGGTAGCTAAAAATTGGCAGATAACTGGTGTTGATCTCAGCCCAATACAACCGCCATTGTAAGTACCACTAGAATAATGATTCTGCGAATGAAAGTGTTTCAACCCGCTGATTTACTAACCGATGTCCAGTGTACCTCCCAACGTCACATTCTACATCGACGATCTAGAAGATGACTGGACATACTCCTACAAGTTCGACTTCATCTTTGGCCGAATGCTCACAGGTTCCATAGCCGACTGGCCAAGGTTTATCCGCCAAAGCTACGAGTAAGTTCTTACTCGCTGCACGCTGGGCTTTTATACCCAATCTACTCGCCTCCGCCTTCTTGCCTGACATTATATAATAGAAACCTCGAACCCGGAGGCTGGATAGAGTTGTCCGACATCCTCCTAGATCTCCAAAGCGACGACGGAACAGTCAGCCCCGAATGCGCAACTCAAAAGTGGGCAGGACATATGCTCGAAGCGGCGGCGATATGGAAACGACCGCTGGACAGCTGCAAATTCTACAAAGAGCAGCTCGCAGAAGCGGGGTTCACCAATATTGAGGAAAAGATTTACAAGTGGCCGTCGAACCCCTGGCCAAAGGATCCAAAGTACAAAGAGCTAGGTAAATCGGCTGCGTGTTCAACCCGTACTCGTAAAGATCTACATGCTGACTGAACGTCTTGTGTCGAAGGCGTGTGGACGTACGAGAACCTAGGAAATGGCTTGTCCGGACTTAGTTTGGCTCTTTTCACTAGGGCACTAGGTTGGTCGGCGGAGCAGCTCGAAGTCTTTTTGGTGGATGCTAGGAAAGACATGCGAGACAGGTCCATACACGGATGGTGGCCAGTGTAAGTAACCACCCTTCTCCTCGTTGGGAAATCGAAGCCCGGCTGACGGTATCACAGATACGTGGTTTACGCACAAAAACCGGAATGAAGTCAAAAGCAACCGAGTCGAGAACGCATCGAATGGAACGACACTACACATGCACAACGAATATAGTTAACCCGCGCCGGCACTCAGGCATGGTTTTTTGTGCTTGAAAACAAGCAAGTTTTCAATAGATTCAGCTAATTCATCCAATGACCAGGATTATCATCTGGAACACGAGACTGCTATTGAAGTTCCCTCATTGCTATTCAGAGTGAGGCAATATCATACCTTTTCTTGATGATATCCGCAATCTGCAATGAAGTTAGTAATCTGGTGCGAAACCACTTCAGAGGCCCTTCTTACCTTTTCTCCCGATGCGTAAGTTGTTGCCGTCGGCGCAGCAGTCAACACCATGGGCCAATAACTAACATCGATAACCCTCAACCCCTCGACCCCATAAACCTGCATCTCCGTATCCACCACACCGCCTTTGTCCTTGGGCACCATAGCCGCAGTACAACACGAATGTGCATTTGAAGGTGACATGTTAGCAGCCAATAATGTCTTCATCTCTTCCTTGGAAGCGGTATCATACGGCGCCGCCATCTTGGGCCCAAGAACCTTCATCGCCGGCGCAGACATGATCTCCTTCCCCTTCTCAAACAACGCCACAGCGAGGTCGAAGTCAGTGGGATCAGAAGCAGTGCGAAAGTCAATGACGGGTTGTTGCAGCGGATCCGTGGAGTTAATCTTCACCGACCCGCGGCTCAGCGCACGGAGGAAGTAAAGCGTGATACTGTTGCCGGTGCCCCAGTGGACCATGCCGAGGGGCACGTCTTGGCCTGCGAGCTGGTCTAAAACGACTTCCCGCTGCTTCTTGTAGCCTTCTTGAACGGATGAAGGGGTACCTGGAGCAAGAAACTCGGTGGGGTGGTGGGACTTTGCAGTGGCGAGGATGTCGCGCCAGGATGAGGTTGTGTTGGCTAGCGGCGGTACGGCTAGGTTTGTGCTCAAGGTTCTGACGATGGTGTACGCTCCCTGCTTATTGGCGTCATAAAGGGCGCGCTGTTCAGCATCGTATGTTGCGTTGGTATCTAGGGCTCCAGAGTTGGGAAATACGTTGTTCTCAACTGCGTGGTTTTCTTCAGTCACTGTACTTTTGCTTTCGAATTGGAATGGTACTGACATGTGAAGGGGACCTTGAGTTCACCCTGATCCATAAAGTTCTCGCCGACCCCAGGCATATCAGCAACGGTATCAATCCCAAGGGTCTTCAAGAACTTCTTTGACCCAATGCCAGAAAGTTGTAAAATTTGTGGCGTATGAAGCGCCCCAGCAGCCAGAAGGACCTCCTTCTTTGCGTAGACCTCGAGGCGCTCACCACCAGTTGAAGGTAGATACTCGAGACCAACAGCCCGCTTTCCTTTGAATAGGACCTTGGATACAGTGTGTTCAGCCAAGATGTGGTAGTTGGGACGAGAATCTTTCACGCGTTGGTAATGGTTGATTCGTGCGTGGCTCCGGGTCCGGGTTGTTGCGTCGGCGAGGGTGGGGAAGTTAAAGAGACCGACGGCCCGGTCGCCGCCATTGGGGTCCGGGGAAGGGGTAAGGCCGCTTTGCAAAGCGGCTTGCCAGAAGTTTTCTACGTGATTTCAGTGGAAGTGTTCTTGCTCCTCTTAGTTTGAACTGCATACCAGCACCGGGGAAGTAATAATTGGGATACGAGGCACGGACAGGTCCACTGTGGCCGTGAGCCGACTCTACCCACGAGATGTTGGCAGCGTCAGCAAAATCCCTAGACGGGGTCGAGAAGTTCTCGCTCTAGCAAATGGTTAATCGGCATTCTCAGGTCCATGCTGATTGTATGTTCGGATCGAATTTACTTTCCGAAAGTAAGGCAACAGGTCATCCCATCCCCAGCCTCTGGCACCCAGCTCCTCCCAGGCCGCATACTCTGACTTTCCACCGCGCACAAAGACCATGCCGTTGACGACCGAACCGCCGCCGACCACTCGGCCGGCAGGCACTGAGAAGATGCGGTCGTTCAGCGCAGACTGTGGCGCGCTGTTCAAGTTGGGCCAAAGGTACGGGACAGGGAAGAAGGCACCCGGGACGAGAACGCTGTCTTCGTCCTTGTCGAAAGGTCCGGTCTCGATGACCAGGACTTTGACTAAATCACATGCATTAGGTGGAGGATTCACATCTGAGGTAGTTGAAGTATGACACTGTCTCTACTTACTGCTTGGGTCTTCAGTCAGCCGATCGGCAACGGTAAGACCCGAGACGCCTCCACCGGCAATGACAAAGTCATAATCAGTCGCGGCAACCGCATCTCGCGAGGCAATTGTCGCGTAGCGAAGAATCTGTAGTGCTAGTGAAGATGAGCTGTACGCCAGCAGTGCCAGAATGGCCTTCGTGGGGGTCGTGAGAACTCTAGGCATCTGGACTACAAAACTAAGACAAGACTGAACAGGCTTCTTGAGGAGGTAAAGCGACAACAAGAGAGAAGAGTCAACGTAGAAGCATCGCGCCGCAGACTCACTTTAAAGACGAGTTTCTGTCAACGCGAGAATGACAACGGTCTCGCCATTGTCGCGATGCAGAGGCCCTGTACGTGCATATGCCAGTAAGCTGAAGTCTAAACGACGTTGCATTGGAGTAACTCAAGCCGGGAAAAGTCGCAGGAACGCCAATCGAAATGTGCTGAGTGAGCTCGTTCCCAAGAACGATGGAGAATCTTAGACATAGAGAAGCGCATGTTTGCTTTATGCTGTAGATTTAGCGAATTAGAATCGAGTCCTAGACGACTATGAAGGGGACAACAGCATTCAAGTCGGGTCGTTTCGTGCGGGGAAGGGCTTAGAGTGCGGTATCGACGGGGGCTGGCACAGATGCAAGTAAGCAGTTGCTACGTCAAGTTAGTCTTGGCACAGTCTGCGTGTTAGAGAAATGACGGCGATGGCTACTCAGGTAATCAGACAGTGTGAAGGTCGATTGTGAATTAGGAAGAAAATTAAATTACGACTATATCTTTCTGTGAATGGTATCTCTAACCACAATCTCTAAATGGAGACTCGAATCATCGTGCCTCGTACAGGGTTCTGGATATCCATAAATCAATTACGTGAAATCATTACAGCAGGAGTCTTGGTGCATCCAAATTCGATCCTTAGATCTTGTTCTGCAGGTTGTCATTGTCCTCCACAGGACGGATCTGGACGTCGTCAACGGCAAGCGTCTGCTGGTCGTTCAACTTGGGGTTCCTCAGGAGGAAGGCGAACGCGATAAGAGGTACCGTCAAGCAGATACCGGTAATGGTAAGAAGACGCTGGACGTGCTGGTACGAGTCGATGATGGCCGCGCGCTCGGGAGTTCCAACGGGGTACTCGGCGATGGCAACAAAAGGCTGCGCGTAGGTTACGGTAGCCAGAGAGTCATTGCCAAAGGGTGCAAGGTTCTCTTGAAGGACGGAGGGCAGAACCTGAGTCCAAATAGCGCCAGATACTGTGTTACCGAAGGCAGATCCAATGTTATAAGTGGCGAGGTAAAGACCGGTCATGATTGCAAGGTGCTCGTGCTTCAGAGTAGTCTGGAGCGAGGCTTGCGCAGGATAGGGGAACATGCCACCTGCGATACCGAGAAGGACCTGGGCACCGATGACACCGCTTTGTCCGGCGGAGGTAGGGGAACCACGGTAATGGATCAACAGACCGAAAGCGACCATGAAGAGCATGGTGCCAGCGATGATGAAGTATTTGAGGCGGCGGACCTTGAAGACGATGAAGCCCAGGATGAAGCCGGTGATGACACTGCAGAAGGAATACAGCGACGTGATCCGGGTAGCGGACGCAATGCTGAAGTCGAAAGCAACAATACAGACAGTGTAGAGGTAGTCTCCCTGCATGTACCAAGCCCAGTTGAGACCCAAGGCAATGCCAAGAGGGGCCAGGATGCCACGGTCGCGCATCAACATGAAGGGAACGAGAGGGTGCTTGGCCTTCATCTCCCACACAGCAAAGACTGGGATGCAAAGGATACCGATAACGAGGGGGGCGATGACGTGAGCCTCGCGCCACGTTGTTGAGAAGCCACCGGCAATGGTAAGAGGAACCAAAATCAGGGCGAAGATGGCGATAACCAGGATGATACCGATGACATCGAGCTGCCAGAACAGCTCAATGAGGAACTTCTTGGGGCCGAGCATGCGGAAAGGAGACGAGTAAGAGTCGAGCAGTCCCTGCTTCCTAGCGCGGCGGCCGACAATAGACAGGCTGATGATAAGGGGGAGGGCACAGACAGGGTAGATGATACACCACATGCCGATGCCCCACTGCCAGGTGCTTTCGCCGAGAACCAGGGCGGAGATGTTACCGCTGACCCAGGTGTTGATGATGAAAGGAAGCGCAGGAATGTAACTGAACAACAGACGGGCGCGGGTCGAGGTAATATCGGCGATGATGACCTCGACAAGCAGCATGATCATGGTGTAGCCAACCTGGTAGACAACGGCACCAGCGGCGAAGGCCTTAACCTCGGTGGCGCATGCCTCGACGATGGTACCAACGACGTAGAAGACAACGGAGACGCAGATGAGCTCGACACGACCAAAGACATCAGCAATCTTGGCGGATGTGGGTTGGGCAGCCGCGGCGATGACAGAGCGGAGGACGTTAACGGTGGCCAGAAGAGAGTGCGTGGCGTAGCTGCTCGTGGCGGTGGGTTGGTAAGCGTAGCGAAGGGTTCCATCGAGACCGTAGGCGTAGGCGACTAGGAAGACGCCGAAGAAGATGAAGTACCGGTCGGTAGTGGTGATGGCGGCAGACAGGGCCTCGATTCTCGCAACACCAGGCGACTTTTCGCCAAAGATGTTGTTGGACTCATACGTGGGAGGCGGAGGAGTGTTTTGGGAGAGAGGAGCATTCTTCTCCGTTGAGGTGACATCGGCGGTGGGCGAGACGATATCCGAAGGAGACTCAGTCTCCTTCTTACGACCAAAGAGACCCATTTTGAATGACTGAAGTACCCAGACGAGACTGGATGATGAGAGAGTCTGGGGGGGGAAGGTCAGTGTCAGGACAGAGGGAGGTCGCAAAACAAGAATCGTAGTTGAAGCTGAACTTCGCAAGATCCCCGGATGATGTCGGCGAAACTCCACTTCCGCGCCGGCAACCTTGAGAGTCGTGACGGAAGGTGACGTTGAAAGACGGCGGCACTTACTCGGGAAAGAGTCGGGGCTCCGGTGACGTCTTGCGGTATGTGGCAGGAGCTGCGACACACCGAAGGTCAATGCGCCGAGGTAAGCGTTGACCGAGAAGGTGAGGAACTCGGGGCCAGGTGAAGGTAGCGTCTCTTGAGTTGCGTGTCTGCTCAATTGCACAGAGAACACTGCGCAACTATTTGTTTATAGGCAAGAAAAGCAACAAAGGAGATCAAATTGATGACCCGACCGGGGATGGAATGAATTAAAGAGGGAGAAAATTCAGAGAGAGGATCCGCCTGCAGGGACGACAGGGAGGACAAGGTGGTGAGGTTACATCCAGGGCCCTTTTTAACTTTCCAGACATGGCGAATAGAGCTTTATCAATGTCTCTCAGGCTCGCAGGCAGCCTGCGCGCTGCCCAATCAAGGCCACTCCATCCATCTTTGCCCATCGGAGCCATTTCGGTCGGCAGCCAGACACTGGGAACCTACGGGGAGGGGGGGCGAACCACTGAGCCAGTCGATCCAGCCTGACGCAGCCTGCGCTAGCCGTGATGATTTTTTCGCATCTTGTTAGTTAATAGACTAGCGCCCCTTTGATCCCTGGTCTCGGGTCTTCAAGCCTCGGAGTTGAAGTCCTTGAGTGTAGCCAGCACTCAAGTTGGTGGTGTGAAACTTTGTGGTGTCGGAATCAAGGACTCAAGCCATCAGAGAATTTTTTATCAGATCCATCTTATCTGATTTAGCGTGCGCCTTTCGCACCACGAACCGCTGCGATCGATACCGCAAACGGTTACGTCCTCCAAGCCGTCGTGGCGCATTCCATAATCCTGCCACCCATTCCTCGGCACGAAGATTGCCAAGGCACGGTTTGAGTTGGTCTTTCTCTTTTGTCTCATACTCACTCATCCTCTTCTCTCACTTGCGATGAAGTACCGGGGGTAAAGAAAGGACGTCAGCAGATGTTCTACTTGACTCAATCAGGCTACCCGCAGCCACCACCAACGACCTCGGCGCACTTTTGTTGCAAGAAATCTCCTAACTCCAGCTTCCCAGCCCATCTGACGGCTACCGCGTTGTTACCTCGTTCTGCGTGATATTTTGACGAGCAATTATTGCAACGAGCATCGGGATCCTATTCCCAGTCTGCTAGCTCGTAAAAGACCACAATTCCAACTCAGTTCAACCCAAAGTCGCCCACAAAGATAACCCACGAGTCCACGACCCTGTGTCTCTAAATCCGGCCCCCACTCTATGACCAATCTCCGCATGCCCCCGACTGGCTCAGGAACGGGGTGGCCAAGTGATCAGAACATCGGTCAACCCGGTCGCTTTTGACAAATGGATTCGCACCCGCGCGAGCCTCGAGGCCGCATTTGCGCCTGTCAGCACCACCGAAGAAGGGTCCCCTCCAAAGAAAAGACAGCACCGGCCTCGGCGACTAGAGGTGGTTGGTTTCTCCGTGTGGGCAAAATCGGCTCATGTTCACGTCCTGAGTCTAGGTCTCTTGGCCTGTTCAGAGAATACACCCACCATACGATCCTCTGTCATCGCTCCACTTGATTCTTCTGTTGCGGAACGCTGTCCACAAACCATCGATAATCCGAGTAGTCTGGAACTTCTCTGCATTTAGGCTAGGATGAGGATATTACTTACTCTAGGCTTCCCCCACATGACGCCTGCGATCATGTCGGCCGGTGGGTAGACCTGAATTATGACCGGGCATGCCACCAACACTACAAAAACGCCACAAGTGATGCGTCTGACTGCCGTCTTTCTACTAGGCTACCGCTACTAGTCTGCGGCACTAACACAAGTGCCGTCTGCATCAGTGCATCATGATCTTTGCAAAATACCTCGTTGTCAAGTACCTTTTAGGCTTTTTCCTGGAATTCTCCCTACAGCGCTAAGTGAGGATCTAATCTCTTCCCAAGGTATGAGGGTCAAGAGACACATGGAAAGATTGTGGAAAACAAGAGGGTTGGCGGGACTCTGCAGTAGCATTGGCGTATCGGAGCTTGGGTCCCAGGCGGCGCCCGAGCTCCCCGGCCACCGGTCTGTGGATATTGACCAGAGTGTCGGGTGCGCCAGGAATCTGGCTATTGATCAAAGATTTTCACTCGTGAGAAACTAGTTGCTCACCGCTGGGTCTGGGGTCATGAGAATTGATGTTACCGCCGGTCTGGAACCTAAGAGGGAGTACTCCAAAGGTCGTAGCTTCAGGGAGTAGTCATTTGCCGCGGCAAGTTTCTGGTCTAGATCCAACTCCCACCTCACTCACCTCTTTTCAGCCCAACTCTCGCCCAACTCTCACGAAATTTTGTTGCCGAAGGAAGTACTAGCAACGACGAAGAAGATCAAGTGATCCATGCTTACTATATGTACTGTTTGTACTGTCGAACAGCCTGCCACATCGCCGACAACGGTGTGCCGCGCTTCACGCGATCCAAAACCAAATCCGTTCCAACCAGTTGCGAGGCTTCACCACCGGCCACGTCGGCTCAAGTCGATCAATCTCCGCCTTGCCTGACCAGATATCCATCTCGGAAACCTTTACAAACTTGGTCTTCTTGACAAACTTGTAGCCTAAAAACAGTGACAAGAAGATTGGAATATCGATATACGGCGGCAAAAACGTCTTGGCACTGAACCGCCCCGGGAAAAATGCATCAAACCCATTGAACAACGCAACGACGAGACAGAAGACAATGGCAAAGTACGCGAGAAACGGCTGCATTGGGGCCTTGTACGGCAACGTATCGCGATCGATACCGTTATGTCGCAGGCACTGGTAGAACCGTAGGTAGGTGTAGCACACGCTGGCCCAGACAACCAGCGTGCTCACGGCGCTGAGGTTGCTGATCCAGAAAAACACCTCGGCGGCGCGGTTGTTCACGTTGAGATAGACCAAGCACCCCAGCGCCGACGTAGCAGCGACGCAGGCGTACGGCACGCCGAAGTGCTCCCACTTAAGGATCGCGGGCGCCTTGCCGTCGAGTGCAGCAGCGTAGAGGACCCGCGTGGAGGCGTAGAAGAAGCTGTTGCCGGCGCTCCACGCACTGCTGAGGATCACGCCGTTGATGATGGAGGGCAGCGTCCCGATGCCGGCGTTGCTGATAGCGATGACAAAGGGGCTTTGCGCGGCGCCAGGACTGCTGCTGCTGATTGCATTGAGCAGATTAGGGTCCTCCGAAGAGACACACAGCCCGACGAGGAAGATGGCAAGGACATAGAATATCGCAATGCGCCAAAAGACGCGGCGGATTGCCTTTGGGATATTGCGCCGCGGGTTCTCAGTCTCGCCGGACGCAACGACGACCATTTCGCTGCCACCGTAGGAGAAAGTAGCTTGGATGAAGACTTTCCAGAAGGCAAGGAAGCGGCCAAGGGCGCCGGACCGGAGGTATTCGTTCATCGGCCCGGGGTCATGCCAGTACCGGAAGCCGATGGCGTCTCCACTTGGCCCGCCACCCACGGTGATGATGAACATTAGGATGATGAGGCCGACAATTGTTGTGAGCTTGATGGCGCCAAAGAAGAACTCTGCTTCACCGTATATACGGACCGGGAGGCAGTTTACAAGGACCATTGCTACAAAGAAGATGGTGATGAGGGCGGCTTGTGGGATGGCGTGGTCCCAATAGTCAAGGATGACCACCGAGACGGTGACTTCGATCGGGACACCGATGGCGAATTGGTACCTGTCTTATAATTAGCGCCCGCTCGTTCCTATCTTCTTGGATCTAGAATTTAGATTCCCTGTCTCTTGACAATCATAATTATGTCTCCATCTTCGTACCCCGTGAAGCCTTCAAAAATGAATCGCTTACCAGTAGTTCCATCCCAAAGTGAACCCCAACGCAGGATCAACGAACCGCGCAGCAAAGATTGGCACAGCTCCCGGGATCGGAAGCCACGCAGCCATCTCACCGAGGCAGTTGATCACGCAGTAAAGGTTGAACCCGGTCACGGCGTAGCAGATGAAGGCGGACAACGGCCCAGCCAGCGACAGAACTTGGCCGCTACCGACGAAAAGCCCCGTGCCTATGGCTCCCGATAGAGCCAGAAACTGAACATGTCGCGACTTCAGTTTCCGGTCAAGTGTTCCGATGTGTTGTAGCTCTTGCTGTTGCTTGAGGTCCGCGACTGTGCCGCTTTTTGTCGCCGTTGCCGGCTCGATGTCGTTGTCGATGGCGATGCCAGCGGGGTCTCCTGCTCTTTCTGTTCTCCTTTCCAGCTTCTCTTTGGTAGTTTCCATCGGTTTTCTGCGTCGATAGCACTGGCTGTCGATGTCTAAAGCTTGTAGACGTGTAAATAATTGTACTTCTCAAATTGAGGCGGCATTCAACAGCATTTGTCCTATTTCTTTAAAGGACAAACAGGATACACTAAAGAGGGCGCATCAAACAGCAAGGAACATTTGAAGTAGCAGCAATAAGCGTCACAAGATTCCCGTTTATCGCTTACTCCGTTTCCCCAATCGTCTCCCTCCTACCTCTATGGATCAGGCGCTTGGCTTGCAGATCTCTGCATTCTGATCCTGCACAAGCGGCACATGCGCAATTGAAAGTGCGGGGTTTCCTCCCGATGGGCAAACAACGGCAAAAGAAGACAGGATAACAGTGACCGTCATACTGAAAGAGCACTGCGACACAAATATCCAGCCGCCGTGAAGTCATTAGAGCATCTACAGTCGCGGAGGTGATTAGCTTATAAGACCGCATCACATTCCATCCTAAGGTAATGATCCCACGAGGTTCAACAATGCCTGGCACCTTTGACATGATACTACTTTGTGGCTGAATATGGTTCCATAATTCGAACTATTTTATTACCTGTGCACATCTGTGCTTCTCAACATATAACAGAATTAATTATTGGTACATCATATTCTGATCTAATCTTTCTAGCTTCTGATCATGCCCTAACTCATTAGCTGCCTTTCTTATACACTTGGCCCCATTAAAGAGAAGCGTGCTCATAGTGGGTAATACCAGAAGTTTGGACGCCGGGCGAGGTTTTGGAGCATCGAACCGTCACAAGACCCCAAAATACATCACCCACCACAATGAGATAAACCCCACCCTGTTTTGGGTCCCTTTAATATCTTTTTTCGAGTATACCAACTTCGGGGAGAGCAAAATTATAACTACATCCTCATTGAAGGCCTGGAGAGCTTCTTCACTCTAGTAGACAGGATCCGTCACGACTCACCTGGATGTTTTACCTAGACTTTCACCCACCTAGTCTATCCACTCGACAAAAGTATTTCTACTTGCATTGTCAAGGCCGTAGATATTCTACATGAAGCTTTTCTGGAGAAGACTTGTGTGGAATCCACTTCCCTGGAATTTCGTGGTTACGCGTGGTGTTGAGAACTAAGAATAAATGTTCTCACATAGACCATTCCGAATAGACCTCCTGGGCCCAACTAGAAGGGATTGGAGTTGATAGTCCCCCTGACACGAATTCGCAGTACTGCTGGAGGTGCAGAACCAAGACCAGACTCCATGTATTTCGTGTATTCCATCAACATATTCCACCCAATCTTCCTTTATCAGATCAAGCTCAATCTGCCCAGAAACGATTCGAGGGAGGAACGAACGATATGTCTATGTACCTTCTGCTTTGGATTTGGCAGGCAGTCTCTGAAGTCGACCGAAGAAAACCCCTCCGCACAAACTTTTGTTCGATATATTCGGTATAAATTCCTGCTCAGACACACCACACAATCAACGAGGCGGCCTTCTACAAAGAAGGTGCCTTGGATTGTTTATTCCTGAACACCTTTCCTTTTGCAATCAGCTCAATTATCACCGATGCCCAGTCAGTCTACATCCAATTGGTGAGATACTGTGAATCTCCTTGGGAAGTTTCCATCTGACCTCTTACCAGGGCCCTACCATCACAGACACTCTAGAAATTCTCCGCCGTCAACACCAGCGAAAACGCTGTACTGAGACAAGATGGGCCATAGGCTTTTCAACGCCAACGCCAGCGCCGGCACCGTAAGACGAGCCTCAATTTCCTTTCTTCCTTTGAGTTCCTTTTCACCAGTGCCTCCATTCCCCCCACATCCCATCACATCAGCTCGGGGAAATAGACCACATGACCGTACAAACATCCGAAGCTAACAATAGATTAATAGAACGAAGAGAGCGACAAAGATCTCGGCAACAGGGAGCTATCAGATGACTCTTGCACACAAGACAAGTGCGAACTTTGCGAGCTGGCTGACGAATCTATCACTGTGATCGACGCTGATCTCTATATGACTTTGCACTCCGTTAACCAAAGCATTGGTCGTCGTGAAAAGATGCAAATGGACAAGGAAGCTCTTGCAGAGAACCAGAGTCGTGTGCATTTTCTCAAGTACGAAAGAGGATACTTTGAGGGAGACCAGTCGGAAATCGAATGCAGAGAGTCTGACTGCAAGGCTCTGCAAGAGTTCATCGAACACATGGACAAACACTGAGACATGTCACTGAGCTCTTACTTGGCTACCGTCTGGGCAATGTTGCATGAGCAGCGTTACTGGCCACATCAGTCTGGCTTGGACATAGGGAAAAGCGGCGTGCTATTTTAAGCATTGAGAGCCATCGGAGAGTATCACAGGTTCATAGTCACCATAGCCAATTTAACACAGTATCGATGAATATGATTTGTTCAACGACCAGCAATTATATCCTCCGCAATCTTTTCTGCCAACGCGTACACAGCAGACTGAGGGTGTCCCGGCAGAGCAAATGGAAAAGTGCTCGCATCAGCGACTCTCAACCTTTGGACACCAAACACACGCCCGCGGCTGTCGACCACCGCCTTGCCTGATGTGACATCTTCCTCTTTGCCCATAGCAACAGTGGACACAGGATGCCATACTTGTCCCACGTTAGCCCTGACATACTCCAGGATCTCCTCTTCGGTCTGCACCGAAGCGCCAGGAAGCATCTCAGGGCCAGTCTTGAAACCCGGCGTATTGGCGACTGGCGAGGCCCAGGCCGTACGAAGCCGCTTGACGGCTGCAATAGCCATTTCCACATCGGCGGGGTCGGACAGCCAATTCAAGTTGATGACCGGCTTCGCGTTGATGGAGGCTGACGATATAGTGACGTTGCCGCGGGAGAAGACGAGAGGGAGGTAAGCAGCAAGAGTCCCGCTCGTTTGTCCTGGCCCAGTTGAGAATGACCCTACGATGAAGGAAAGCTGAGGCCAGTCAGAAGGAAATGAAGCAAGCTTATCACGAGTTGTTTGCGTAAGGTTGGTAAGAGTAGGGTTGGGAAGCCGCTCGTGAGCCAGAAAGCCTGCAGCGGAACTGTAGGGACCAGTGCCAGATTTCAGATACTCTTCAACGAAGCCTGGGTTGAGAGCCGGGTCATTGGTCAGAGATTGTGCAGAAGGTGTGCTGACGGGGTACGCGACGAAAATCTGAATTGGATCTTGCAGGTTCTGTCCCACGCCGGGGACGTCGGCGATGACTGGGATCGAGAGAGCTTCCAGTCTCTCGCGCGGGCCAATTCCAGAGACTTGAAGAAGTTGCGGAGAGTGAAACGTGCCAGCGGTGAGGATGACCTCTTTATTAGCGAACAGGGTGTACTCGACCCCTTGGGAATTGACGCTCACACCCACGGCCTTATTGCCGTCGAACAGGATCTTGGTTGCCAAAGTGTGAGTGTAGACAGTGATTTCAGTGTCTTTGATAGCCTGTCGCAAGAAGCTGCTCTCGCTCGTAGATCGCTGCGCCTTTCCCGGCTCGATCGTCGAAGGCACCCACGCGCCGTATCCCGCCAGCTCGCCACTGCCGAATCCCTTGGGGCTGATGCTCAGTCCGAGGCTCAGAACTATTTGAGCAAGCCACGTCAGCGTCGGATCAACCCAGTTGTTCCAAGAAACCTGCAGTGGGCCTCCCTGCTCGTCGTAGTCGCGGGGATCAAACCGCACAGTCGCATTCGTGTTCTGCCTCTTCTCCTCGTTCGGCGGCGTGAGATCGACAGAGCGCTTGAAATACCTGAGCATGCTCTCCCACCGAAACGTCTCATCGCCAACCGACTCGGCCCAGAGGTCATAGGAGCCCTTTGTCCCGCGGATATACGACATCGTGTTGATCGCCGAAGACCCTCCAAGCGTTTTGCCCTGCGCGTAGTGCACCCGTCGGCCTCCGGCGCCCGCGATCGGTTCCGAGACCAGGGACCAGTCCATCAGGGGCTGCGGGGTGAAATTTGGCGACGGGTCGATGAAGGCGATGCCAGTAAGCGAGAGAAGGGGAACAACGCTGTTGTTGCCATTTTCGACCTCGTAGAAACCACCGGCTTCGACCACGGCAACGGAGGCAGAGGTTGCGGCGAGGCGCGACGCGATGGTTAGGCCGGCGGTGCCGCCGCCGATGACGATGTAATCGTAGCTTGCATTGCGGCCAGGGTATGCAAAGCCCGAGGAAAAGAGGCGGTCTTGCGCTGCCGCGAGGCTCACGAGCGACAAGATGAAAGCCCGCAGCATTATGTTGTGGAAGGTGGGTTTGTCGCTTGATACTTCAATCGACGAGCGCGGTTTGCTAGAAGGGTCTCACTTGAAGACGTGAGCCTAGCTCAACTCCCTAGAGAAGTCCATGATGAAGGTCAATGGTGTGGGCTCATACTTAAGTATGCCCTCTGAATCACATCATCGTACGGGAGGAGGCATATCAGCAGCATGGATTTTTGTCACCGGAACGCTGGTTCCATGCGCCACTCCCATAGATTTAGGCGAGCATGCTTAAATGTCGCTAAATATGTGTTCTCCGGGCGCGCCGGGCTAATTCAAAGATGCTGTAAGGTCGGATCGGATTCTGTTGTTACATTAAACCAGCTGTCAGATTCGATAGTCTCTGGTGCCCCAGCAAGACGTCAGCACGGCGTAGGATTTTGTCTCGGTCGTGGTGACAGATTGAGGTATGTCTGTTGGAGGCATTTAAGGGGAAGACGGGCCGTCGCTTAGTGGATGGGATGCGTTACATTGCATGCTGACAGATCCCACACCACGCTGCTTCTCGGTTACGGGTAGCTGTGGTATGTCGAGCTACACAATGTGCTCCAGGACACGGATCAATGCTTGTTGATCTATGACAATTTGAAGAAAACTATTTTCGTTGTCGACAAACTAAAGGTGGCTTCAGAACCAGTAGGTAGTCAGTAAGGGATTGGATAAGAAGAGAGAAACAAAGACAGAAAAAAGAAAGATCATTCTCACTGCCTTGAGCAATAATCAAAACCAATCCCTTCTGATAACAATGGACGTAACTGACCTTGTCTTACCTTACCCTTTCAGCCAACCGTTCATTGAGCCACTTATGCAGGTTGGCCATTCCTTAGCCTAAGGCTTCTCTCCAGTGAGAGGCACAGCAATTACTTACTAAGTGAGGTAGTTTAGGTAAGCCGCATCTCACCTGCACCTCGTAATCCCATGGCGCCAGGCTTCCTTGTTGTCTTCAACCATATTGATGCCATCACCTTCACATAACGATTTCCTTGCGCGGCGGACGGGAGCTGACCTTGGACCTCGCCCAAGCCAAATCATCCGTGGAAGAGCTGCAACAGAGTTGATGGAGCCACTCGTCAACGACATGGACCCGGAGCTCCGAGGTACCCGGAACGACCGGCCGGAACGAGACCAAGAGCACGACGGGATGGCGGCGCGACTAAATCCGGACCATCGAGACCATGAGCATATTCCGATGGCACCGGAACAGCATATGCAGCCGGATAGGATGAGCACTCCTGTATACTTGGTACTTTTCTCACTGGCAGTAATAGGCCTCGTCATGGCAAAAGTCGCCATGGATGCTTTTCTTCCCCCAATCAGCTTGTGGATCCCATTCCCATCTCTAGAGTCTATATTGGGCGGTGGTGGCACCGAAGCTTCTGTAGCCCAGTCATCGCCATCCTCGGAGTCATGGTTCAAAGGAGCCACCGAGACCGTCGCCATTATTTTCAAAACCATCATAGCCACTCTTGGTGGCAAGCACATGATCACCAACGGATCTCAATGCCTCGTCGACTTCTTTCCTGTAGGATCTGTGCTGCGGTCCGTTTTGGAAAACAACACTTTTAGACAGACCTTTATGCTTCTCAGCTACTTCATTCTTCCCACCGCAACGTCGGCTACGGTCTCCTCGGCTGTTCCAGGTGGCTTCTGCGATCCAAAGGCCAATATTCTCCGCTTCTGGCCGCCTCGAACACGGGATGATATCAGGGCAATACTAGACGGATGGAGCGGCCTCGCAAGTCTTTATTTGAAAACAGGCGGCAGCATGACGCAGATGTCCAAGTGGAATTGGACTTTTGGAAGAGCGTTCATGTGGTTGTTAGGGGTCGGCACATGGACGACGGTCGAGATTTACTTTGGTCCGTGCTGGTATTATCCTCTGGCATGGAGATTCTGGTTTTCGATATTGTCGGTCTCCTTGGTTTCGTGGTTTCTCGGCAACGCTGAGAAGTTGATTGTGACCAAATGGGCGTCTATGGGGCTTGTGCACCTGGAGTTGATGGCGTATCTGGCGGTCTTCCACTTGGTTAGGCACGCAGACTTGGATGGATTTTGCTCTAAAGCGAACTGTTGGTAGAATAACTGGTCTCGAAGAGATCAACATTCACATTGTATTCGAGATATTGAACTGAGCGCGACAGACAGGGAACCAAGAAATGCGTTCAAGCTACACGTCGCGGCCGGGATGAGCATCGCTGCATGTCTCGTGATTGCCTTTAACCTCATTCTTGCACCGGCTGGACGGTTCGAGTTACCAGTACAAGTACATATCATGAATCGGGACATCCACCTTAAGCAGCAACTAGGTAAGTAAGCTTGAAAGCTTGAGCATCAACCTCAGACTTGAAAGATAACAGTATGTGGCGACATCAATGTATCAGGGAGCTGGAGGTCTTCAAAGGTCAATTTCCACTGTACAGGAATGGAATTACAGAAGCCTTGTTTTAAACACTCTTCTGATGAATCTATGATCCAGAAAACCTCTAAACAATCGAGAATACAAATGCGTTGATAAGCTGTCAGAACTCGGCAGAGATGCGAACTGAGCCGGCAGGGAATGATCTTAGAGTGCTGACATGACATGTCAACCAGCCAAGCAAACGAACCACAGTCAGCTCCAATTCGCAGAATTTTTAGTCAGTCAGCTGGTTTGTGAATAGCTTCATTCGTCCCGAAGACCAGTCTGTGGCGACTTGCCATGTATTATCAATATAGTCGTCGTCGTACGATAGTTTAATTGATGATTAAGCAACAGCACGTCATATTTACTGCACCTTACTCGTGTGTAGCTGTCCAAAGCATCGTAGTTGAGGAAAGGCGGGGTGTGGCGTGGAACGCGCGGGGTTGGTTCTCTTTATCGGCGTTAATATCCTTACAAATCATACCTATCATACCTCGGCACAACTTCTGCCCACAACTACGTCAAAGCAGCTTAATTGAAAGACTATTTCTTGACGT